TTCGGACAGCCCACCCGTTTGAACTAATAAAGTGCCAGGGGTCTAAGTGGTCACCTCAATATTAAAAAAAAAAAAAATTTATCAAGTAGTGTTACAAATTGAACTAAATTTTTTTAAAAAATCGATTAAAAATCGATTATAGCCAACTGATTGATTAATCGATTAGTCAATTAATCAATTAATTGACTAGTCGATTAGTTGGTATATCAAAATGGCTTGGATATAATTGCGCAGCTATTAATTGCAAGATCAGATTATAATACTATATAAAACAACTAGTCAATTAGTCAACTATTTGATTAACTAACTAATCGATTAATTAGTTAATCGATTAATTATTAACAATCGATTAGTTGTCTAATAAAATTATTAATCGATTAGTTGCCAATTCGATTAATTAATCGATTAATTGATTTTTGACTTGGAACACTAGTATCAAGATATCAAGATACTGCAGTGCAGATCATCAAAAGCCAGCGTCTTTGTGTTAAATTTAGAATTATGTGAAGCTTCACAGTTGCATTCACATCTTTATATCAGTTTATTTAGAAGACTGTAAACTATTATATTTTGTTTATCACATTTCTGGAGAAAATATATAGCTATTTGTTTTCTTAACTTTTTCTCTTAAAGATTTAAGTGAGTAAATCACATTGATGCAAAAGCTATTTAACAGATAATACACGTACAATACTTACATATGTACGTACATACCTGGATCGGAAGCACACAGCCCAGAAACCAAATCTAGAAACCAAATCTAGATCCCAAACCGGTTTTTTAAAATCATTTCATACAAAAACACCAGTTATAATTTTTGCATAATCTCTTATTTCTAATTAAGAATAAATAAAGTGTAGATAATGATAATAATCACACAATATGACTTTATGTGTTTGAAAAGAATCAGATATATAAGAACTTCTTTTTTCTTTCAAATTTTATATTTATTATTCATTTTTATCACTTTTACTATTGCTACTTTTTTTCTTTATTGTCATAGTTATAATTTATAAACTGTTTTATAGTTTATACAGTTTTTATACACCTTTATTCATTTATTTTTTTTTTTCAATTGATTTTTTTAATGGACTTTATAAAACACAAGGTATGTTTTTTTTTTGTTGTTATAGTTGCCTTGTTTAATATCAGTCAATTAAAAGTTCAAAACAAAATTTTAAGTAAACATGTTTCGAAATTGAGAACCGAAAATAAAGCTTTAAAGAAAGAAAACAATGCATTTAAAAAGAAAAGCGCAAATGAATATTATTTGAAGCAGTTTGAAGTTGCTCAAAATGAAATAATTGAATTGACACAAAAGATATTTTTTTAACAAACAAATATTTACCAATTGTACATTCGTTAATATTATTGAAAATTATTAGTATGACATATTGATTATTATTACAATGGTGTGTGCAAAAACAATTATGAAATCAAGATTAGATTGTTTGAAAAAGAGAACAAACGTCTCAAAGAACAGCCTGTAGCTTCTGTTAAAACAGTTATTGTAGGGTGATTTTTAGAATGTCTATATAACCAGACTTCCTAAATAAGTAGTCTATGAAATACCTCTCTAATGCATGGATTTTTACTCTTTAAATGTATAAGTTTTTTCTTATCAAAATGAGATGTGTTTTTGTCACAAAACTTAGTAAATTAATTTATGCTAAATATTTACAACCACAAGAACATGACTATATCTGTAAAATGAGTTCCGAAGATCAGCAACTTTTAAAGGTCATACATATTTGTACTAGAGATAAGATACCAAGTAAATTCGATTCGAATAAATCATGTGATTGTGAAGTATCACATTAGTTAAAGACATATAATTACAATTCGAGTTCCTTATTTCCAATTCCAACTCAATATAATCTCACCAGTCTGTAAGTAATTGGAGCCTGAAGCCCAAACATTTTTAAATCAGAAATATTTATTCCAACACAAATAAATACCATTAACCAATCTACGTATAATACAATACGTTATAGTTATTGTATGGGTTGTAAAAAATAACTAAATTTGTATAGGGTTACATGGCCGAAGGCCATGCCGTGCAAATTTAGTTATTTTATAACCCATATAATAACTATTTTATTGCACGGTGTC